AGTAGGGAAAGGAGGTGTCAGGCTCTTTTCTTTCCCTTTTTTTTTTGAGATGGAGTCTCACTTTGTGGCCCAGGCTAGAGTGCAGTGGCGCAATCTTGGCTCACTGCAAGCTCCGCCTCCCGGATTCACGCCATTCTCCTGCCTCAGCCTCCCGAGTAGCTGGGACTACAGGCGCCCACCACCACGCCCAGCTAATTTTTTGTATTTTTTTCAGTAGAGACGGGGTTTCACCGTATTAGCCAGGATGGTCTTGATCTCCTGACATCGTGATCCGCCCGCCTTGGCCTCCCAAAGTGCTGGGATTACAGGTGTGAGCCACCACGCCCGGCCGTCAGGCTCTTTTCAACAACCAGTTCTTGCAGGAACTAAGAGTGAGAACTCGCTCCCTTCTGCAAGAATGGCACCAAGCCGTTCATGAGGGATCTGTCCCCAGAACCCAAACACCTCCCACCAGATCCAACTCCAACATTGGGGATCCATTTTCAACACTGGGCCGGGTGAGGTGACTCAAATCTGTAATCCCAGCACTTTGGGAGGACGAGGCAGGTGGATTACCTGAGGTCAGGAGTTCAAGACCAGCCTGACCAACATGGTGAAACCCCGTCTCTACTAAAAATACAAAAATTAGCCAGATGTGGTGGCGCATGCCTGTACTCCCAGCTACTCAGGAGGCTGGGGCAGGAGAATCGCTTGAACCTGGGAGGCGGAGGTTGCAGTGAGCCGAGATCGCACCACTGCACTCCAGCCTGAGCAACAAGAGCAAAACTCCATCTCGCGGGAAAAAAAAAAAAAAAAAAAATTCAACATGAGATTTCAGTGGACAAATATGGAAACCATAAACCATAGCACCAGCCCCTCCACCTCCAGTTGCCCTCCCTCACCTTCTTTCAGCCACATCTCCCAGCCCAAGGTCCTACCCCGGCTCTCCCATGCCTCTGGGCCTTTGCACACGTAGTTTTCCACCTGGAAGGTGAGTTCCTCCCACCCACTCACCTGACTGGCCCCTTCTTAAGTTTTCTCTCCAGTTTTTATTTTGCAAACTTAAAACCAGGCTGGCTGGGCGCAGTGGCTCACACCTGTAATCTTAGCACATTGGGAGGCCAAGGTGGGTGGATTGCTTGAGCCCAAGAGTTCAAGACCAGCCTGGCCAACAACGGCAAAACCGTACCTCTACAAATAATACAGAAATTAGCTGGGTGTGGTGGCATGTGCCTGTAGTCTCAGTTAGGAGGCTGAGGTGGGAGGGCCACCTGAGCCCGGGGAGGTTGAGGCTGCAGTGAGGCAAGATGGTGCTATTGCACTCCAGCCTGGGCAACACAGTGAGACCCTGTATCAAAAAAAAAAAAAGAAGAAGAAAGAAGAAAACGTCAAAACTACAGAACAGTCCTGAATGCAGTGGCTGTTTGAACCTTGTATCCCAGCACTGTTGGGAGGCTGAAGAGGGCAGATAACTTGATGCCAGTTGTTCGAAGACCCGCCTGGCCAAACATGGTGAAGCCTGTCTCTACTAAAGAATAAAAAGTTAGATCTGGGCGTGTTGGCAGGCGCGCTGGTAATGCCTATGCGTACTTGGGAGGCTGAGGGCATGGATGAGTCACTTCTGAACCTGGGAGGCAGAGAGTTGTAGTGAGCCCGAGGATCATGCAACTGTGCTCGCAGCGCTGGGTAACAGGAGTGAGACCCCGTTCAAAAAAAAAAAAAAATCTACGGAGAAGTTGTTGGGAATGGTCTGATGAACTTTCAGATGCCACTTTACCCGGTTCAGCAAATGCCTTACATTTGCTATGAGTTGTACATCTGTCTTTCTCTCGCCTATATACACTCACTTACTGCTTTTTCCTGAACATTTGAAGCTAGATGAGTTGTATCGCTGACAATTCGACTGCTCAGATACAGGCATACGCGTCTCCTATGCAAGCAGGAACTTCTCCACCAGAGAGTTCGGAACTTGGCAACGTTTTAGATACTGAGGTCCCTGCCTGCTGGCCCTTCAATGCCACTTCACGGCGCCAAGCAGAGCCAGGAAGCTCCCTGGAGGGGTGACGACTCAGGCTCAGTTTCCCTCCTTTCTTCCTTTCATTTCCTCCCTCCTCTCCTTACCTTCAGCTTCTTTCCTTCCTCTTCCTCCTCCTTACGCTAGTTCTCCCTCCTCCCTCTCCTTTTTTCCTCTTTCTCTTTTCTCCTTCCTTTCCCTCCTCCTCACTGTCCTTTCTTCCTTTTTTTGGTTTGTTGTAGATGGAGTCTTGCTGTGTTGCCCAGGCTTGGACGTGCAGTGGGCATGATCATTGGCTCACTGCAACCTTCCCTCGCCCAGGTCACGTGATTCTTGTGCCTCGCCTCCTGAAGATAGTTGCAACTATGTTGAGGCGCCCCACGGCCTGGCTAATGTTTTGTATTTTTAGTAGAGACGGGGTTTCACCACGTTGGCCAGGCTCGGTCTGGAACTCTTTGACCTCAGGAGATCCTCCCACCTCAGCCTCCAAAGTTGCTAGGAGATTACCGCTTCGCAGCCACTGTTTCCTGGCCTCTTCTTTCTTTCTTCCAGCCTTATTTTTTTTTTTTTATTTTTTAATTTTTATTCATTTATTATTTTGAGACTGGGTCTCACTCTGTCGCCCAGGCTGGAGTGCAGTGGCATGATCTGGGTACTGCAACCTCTACCTCCTCAGTTCTCAGCATTCTCCTGCCCCAGCCTCCTGAGTAGCTGGGATTACAGATGCCTGCCACCATGCCCAGGCTATTTTTTTTGTATTTTGAGGTAGAGACTGGTTTTCACCATGTTGGCCAGGTTGGTCCTCGAACTCCTGACTCAGGTGATCCTCCTGCCTCCAGCATCCCAAAGTGCTGTTGATTAGAGAGGTATGAGCCACTGGGCCTGGCCTACAAGCTTAATTTTTTTTTTTTTTGGAGACGGAGTCTCCGCTCTGTCCGCCCAGGGTGGAGTGCAGTGGCCAGATCTCAGCTCACTGCAAGCTGCGCCTCCCGGGTTCACACCATTCCTCCTGCTCAGCCTCCC